AAGTACCATCTTAACTGTAATGCCCCTTAATACCAGTGTCCACAGGATGCTGGTAGATTACTGAGGATCAGGAATGGGAAATTTGGGTTGCAGGGACAGAATGCTGCATGCTGGGGGGAAATGGTGTCTGGAATACACATGCTCAGATAGAAACATAGAAACAGAGCGAGTCATAAGGGGTCTCCCGGGCCATCTAGTCTGACCTCCGGCACCAGCCGGCTCTGCTCACACATACACACATGGTGGGGGGAGTATTTGTGATGCTGGGTTCAGTGCATATTTTCTGATTTTGAGCAGTAGGATGAGGAAAAAAAGGGAAAGGTGGTTTGTTTGTTTATTTTTGTTCTGCAATGATTGTACAAAAAGAAACATTGTACAAACTGTACAAAATTCTTTTGCTTAGAACATTTAAAAATCAGATTACTTTACAAGAGATTGCACAGATTTCTTCCTGTTTTCAAAAAAGAAGAAAGCTCCATGATATGTGCTTGTATAGAACTTTGAAGTCATCTGTTCGGTTTGGGTACATCCCCCTCCCCCCACATACATAGTGTGACCTCTGGTCAGGAGCATCACCATTTGCTTTGAAAATCAGCCTTCTTTTATAGGTTTGTCTTTAAGAGGCATGCCGTGCTTTCAGTTAACTGAATTGAAGGCCATAGTTTCATAAGATAATGCCTTAAATGTGAACTGAAGAAAGAAATGGATGCTATCTGCTATCCAAGGCAGGGACAAATTGGTCAGGAGATTTATTTCAAAGAAGTGTGAGAGATATTTTGCTGACTGTCAGTGGTAGAGAACAATGTAATTCAATAAATGAAGGCAGAGTTTGAATAGATGGAAAATTAATCTTCGTGCCCATCTCCTGTGGGATTTTCCCGTGTCATTATTGATTGCATTTCAGCTCCTGCCTCAGGAGAGAAATTGGTTGGAGTTAGGTTTTAATTGTATTCAGCGCTGTATTGGATTACTTTGCTTCACAATATATGAGCTTCATTTCTTTCAGGGAGTAGAGGAGGTCACAATGAAAAACTTTATGGGGTATGGAAAATATAACAAATATAGTTTAGAGTATTGACAAAAATAATTTAAACCTGTTTTGGTATGATCATTATATTACTATAAATATCCTCAGGAGATCTCCCCAAATTTATTAAAGACTTATTACTCTGCTTGACTAATATTTTACTGTGTGATTTTTATTAAATGCCTCATGGAAATAATAGCTAACTTCATTAATAGGTGAAACAACTATTCCATTGAACTTTATCAGGCTATTCTTCAGCCCCTTGAATATAACTTACTGTTTTCCACTCACTTTTTATTTTATTTTTTATTTCCACTCACTTTTTACCAGGGCCCAATTATTAATGCTGTGCTTCAGTGGTTTATTAAAAAAATAATTTGTCCCTGGTTTATTTTGAGAAATAGTCATCTTCATATGTCCCACACTGATTATTAGCCATGTTTGTATATTTATTTATATCCTACATTTTTCTTTTAAAAAAATGTCAAAGTAGCTTACATAATTCTCCTCCTCCTCTCAATCTTACCTTCGCAACAACAACAACCCTGTGAGGTAGGTTGGGCTGAGAGTTTGTGACTGGCCCAAAGTCACCCATTGAGCTGCATAGCTGAGCGGGGACTCGAACTCAGATCTCCTAAGTCTCAGTCCCACACCCTTAACCACTGTGCCACACTGGCCCTTAATAGAAGCTAGCATATATATGATACTTAGAAGTCAAAGATTTATGTGCATATGCATGAGAGGCTTTTGTGGTTGGCACCTTGAAGTGCCAGGGGTGTACAGTTCTTTCCCACAGCCTCATTCTCAGCGTGAAGTAACCTCCTTCTAGGAAAACACTCTGACTGCATCATGCCACCTTGAAATATAGATTGATATAATTCTGGAGATGGCAGGTGCCTGGAATATTTGTCAAAAGTGCAACTCAGTTTTGTACGCCACTGCAAAACTTTCTGATCCTTTTATCACTCTACTGTTTATTTCTGTGCTGCACATGTAACAGGTGCAGTACAACTGGGGAAAAGGAAGGTAGAGACATTCATTTGAATCAGTTCTTGGTATCTTACAAGCAACAGGGGAGGAAAGAATAGTGATAGGGATGCTTGTTTGGTCTGCACCTTTGAGTGAACTGACTTACTCACACAAATAGCCTTGGCCTGGGTTATCTGGAGGACCGTTTATACCCATCTATACCTCTCCAAGCCTTGAGATGGATGCAGGGGCTCTTTTGTGGGATCCATGCCTCAGGGTAGTAAGTTGGGTGGCCAAAAGGAAGAGGGACTTTTCTACTGGTGCTCCGCATATTTGGAATGCTCTCCCTAAGGAGATTCGCCTGACACCATCTCTGTATTTCTTTTGGCGCCAGGCAAAGACTTATCTTTTTAAAAGATATTTTAATACCTGTTTCCTCCCATGGATGCCATTATGGCCTGCTGAGTATATTAATTTATTGGAACGTTATATTTGTATTAGGTTAATTGGGTTTTTATTGTTTAAAATTTTATTGTTGAATTTTAACATTCTGTTTTTAGAAGTGTGTGAGCTATCTAGAGATGCCATAGGTAGAGTAGGCAGCCTATAAATGTTTTAAGCAAGTAATTAAATAATACTTGATTAGAATGGAGTTTTCTTCCATAATTTGCACTTCTCTCAATTTTGTGATACAGTTCTTGACTTTTTTTAAAGTATCAAATCTGCATATTTTAGTAAAATGTCCACAAAAATTGCATATTTTATTAAAAACAACAACACTCCTTTTAAATGCAGTGCTGCATTTAATGCAGTGTTGCACAAGCAAACCAAATTTTTGTGCTGGTCTTTTTAAGTACATAAATTTCAGATTGATGTGGAAGCAGGATGAAATGGATGCATTACTAAATATATGTGAAATGGACACAGACTGAAAGTAGACAGATTTGTCCTTCCCTAATTCTTACTGAGGGTTGATGCAGCTGTTACAGAATGAAAGGAGTGGAGAGAATGGAAGGACATGTCCATCCCAAGCACCTCAGGTGAAACCGGAAGATCTGAAGTAAGATTGCAATTGCATTTAGCTAAAAGCAGCTACCATTCCCTGTGCATTTGAGAGCCTTGTGAAGACAAGTCTTTCAGCTTTGGGACACATGCAGAGGGGTGCTGTGTGTTTCTGTAAGGAGTGAAATGGACCTCAAACTTTATAAAGATTGGGCAATAGGGTATGATAGGAGACATTCTAAGAAATGTGCTTTTCTCACCCTATATATTTTGGCTTGTTATTATGTAAAAGACAAGGGTAGGAAGAGTGTGTTAGAGCTGGATAAGCTATACTCCCTCTTCTTTCCTACACCAATTATCCTGGAGGAGAGGGAATACATAAGCATTATACTGATTAGATCACTAGCTTCCCATTTGGATGTTACACAAAAGGACAGATCATTTGATACTTTCCATATTGTGTTTTGCATAGTTCAGTGGAAACATAGGTAGTGCTGCTCTTTGTATTTATTTGGGGAAACAAATGGTTGCACTTGGATATTTATCAAAGGGATGCCTGCGTGACACATTTTCTCACTTCAACAATTCATTGTTGGTGCCTCATTTACAGAATTAAACTGGCTCATTATTTTAGACAGCTGGCGGCAATACAATGCATTTGGTGCAGCATGTACATACACCAATCAGAGTTATAGGGAAACAGTAATTGGGTCAAATGAGAACATCTTTGAGGCTCTTTTAACATTTCATGATTTTAGTTGCCAACCCAAATAAAGTGCTGCATGGTTTCTTTGCCACCGTGCTACTTTTGGAGGGCCCTATGCCTTGACCAAACACATTTGCTGGAAGGGCACTGCTGCCCTGGTAGGAATAACAAAGTGTGAGATTTTGCTCCCAACCGACGCATGTTTTCTGGAAATGGCTGCAACCGATACATGTTGATTGTTAGCTGTGAAAAAGAGGCACTGGCTTTCCTTGTAGGATTCAGGTGGTAGAAACCTCAGGTGGTGGAAGGTGACGTTGACAATACAGGAAGGGTAGAAGAGACCATCTTTGAATCACCTGCCATGTAAAACCAAACGAATGAATGAACAGACCCTCTCTGAAGTTGTAATAGTTGCATATCATGGGGAATCGTTCTAGGCCAGACTTCCCCCTTACAAAGAAGTTTTGTTTGGTTACATCTATTCCATCATCTCAGGACTGTATCACCTTAAGTTTCTGTAGTCAGCCTAAGGGCTTAGCCGCACAGGCACATGCAATTAAATGTGCAATTACATGTAATTTTTTAAAATTAATGTGTGTGTGTGGGGGAGGGGTGGCTGTTTGGAAATGGGACCACAGTTTGCAGGGAGGTGAGATTTAACTCTTTCTTCCTTTGCCATGATCTTGACCAAAATCCCTTCCCAGCACTAGACTAGACTTCGTGATTAAAAACCCCTGCAGTGTCTCAGATGTACATACACTTTAGGAGAATCCCCAGGAGGCTTCTTTGATAGGCTTTTGGTGCCTGTACTCACTGTGTGTGTGTCATTATTCTGCCTTGCTAGTCCTCAGTTCCTTTGTAGCATTCTACCTTCCGTATCCTTGCTTCTTTGATCCTTTCAATATTATTTATAAAACATACAACTGCCAAACACTTCTGCATGGATCTACACATGAAATGAAACAAAAGGAAATGAAAATGAAGTAGTGGTGTCCTGGGGATGCAGAATGCACTTGAATGCTGTCCTAGATTTAAACATTGAATTCCAATAGACATCTGACATAGGAGACAGAGAACTTGGTTAAAACCACGTTCTATATTCTTGGGCTATATTCTTTCTGCTCAGTGTGCTAATCATTTACTCCCAAGTTTTGCTTTTATTTGTTCATTTGTTTAGATGCAAAATGCTAATGACAATAGACCTCTCTGCTCCTTCTTGTCATCATTTGTAAGAGGCATATGCAACGAATTCTTAGCATTTTCTTTAATATTTTACTCTTTTTTTCTCTTGGAAAGTCCGGAAGAAATGAGAGTGAAACTGGCAGTCAGAGAATAAAACCAGTCTTTGAAGAGGATCCTGTTTTCGGTCGGCAAACATCCTACCAGCACGCAGCAGTCCATATACCAACTGATATATATGACGGCTGTAAGTAGTGAATAACCTCACCGAGTCTTGTTACATGCTCCATTCATGAAGTGTGTAGTCCTGATTTGTTCATGCTGACAGGCATTTTCCTGAATGAAGAGCTAAGCTCATTTCAGCTGTGCTTGGTATGACAGGTTGGATGTAGCGGGATATTACAGTTAATCAGATTAGTAAAGGAATTCCATAATACCTGTTGTATTGCATTCACCTTTAACACAGCCTTATGAATTCCACTGGCGTCAACAGGGACATATTTGAAATATCCAGGTATTACAGTCCTACACAAGACTATTCAGAAGTAAGCCCCATTGAATTAAATGAAGCTTACTCCCAGGTAACTGTATGTAGGACTGCAGCTTAAGCCTCACCTATCAGTCACTATCAGATACATCTTCCATTACATATTATTTAAGATCTGTTCTCCCATTGTACATTATTTAAGATCTATAATCTGCTTGCATTATATGCTGTTTGGATTTACTCTGTACTAGCTTATCCTCTGTCAATTTAAATCTATGTGTGTCTTGTTTTTTTGGTTACAGATATATTGTAAAACCTAATTGTCGTGAAACAGAGGTAGTCAACCTTGAGGCCCTCACATTGATTTCATGAGGCCCTCAGCTTTGAAAATGGGTTGGTGTCTGTTCTGATTTGTGAATCACACCAAGTGGTAGGATCTTGAGATTGGACTGTACTGCTTCAATTGAAAATGACTGGGAGCAAGGAGAACATTCTCGAATGACTCCCCATCTTGAAATGTTTCCTAGAAGCAGAACATATGACTCTGGGGAGAATGGCTCCAGCCTAGCCCTGCTCATGCTTTCTACTTGCAAGATTGATATGTTTGCTTTTTGTTTGTATTAACTTTTTTTTGCAAGAAAAGGCATTGCCTATTGACCGTCTCAGAACTTTATCACCTTGGAGATGTGGCAGAGTGTGTGTGTGTGTGTGTGTGAGAGAGAGAGAGAGAGAGAGAGAAAAGGTGTGTGAGAGAGAGAGCATGAAACAAGGACTGGCACTGCACTGGTCACACGTGCCATTGACTTTAGCTTTGCCCTCAGCTGGCATATGGCCCCCAACAGAATACACTAAAGGGAATGTGGTCCCCTTCCCTTACCATAAAACAGTTAAAGTTTAAAATATGCCTGAATGGTGACAATGTGTGGAATCACAGGCTGTTCACATGCATTTCCATGCATGTGTAGCAACTACCAGATGTATTCTTCCAGTCAGATATTTAAATATCTGAGACTCTGAGCGGAGCTCACTGAACCCTGAAGATAGTAACATTAGCAAATCAGGCTAGCAAGATTTTAACAAGGCATCTGCAAATAGCAAAAATAAGGGCAGCAATGCATTAGGGCAAGATGATAAAAAATGGGACCAGTGAATCGGAGGACCAGTGCCTATGTTAATGCTATGAATACTTCTGTGTATTCGGCATAGTCTCGCACTGCTGTGAATGCACATGCTTCTCCCGTATGAAGCAAGTTATGCTTGTGCTTTAAGGTGTCATGTATCCTGGGTATGTTTAAGTCCATTGTACAATGGAATTGTGAGAGTGCCTGCTTTTCACCCAGAAAATATATATGCAAGCCATGACACAGTCTTCATATCTCTTAGTGCCACCCAGCAAAAGATATTGCTGAGCTATTCCGCCTTTTCCTCCTTAATGGATTTTACATGGTAAGAAAAAATGAAAATAGTCTCCTCTGGAAGAACCCTAATTGAAAGCCTGCCTGCCCCAACCTGTTGCCTTTCAGCTTTGTTGGATGGTAACCCATCATCCTAAGCAAGTATGGCCAGACTGTGCTGCAGTTCAGCACATCTGAAGGTTGTTGAAAGTCGGTTGCATGCTGATCGTAGAATGGTAGAGTTGGAATAGTAGAGTTGGCCCATGTAGGCCATTGAGTCCAACCCTCTGCTGATGTAGGACATCAAGTTGCACTATCCTACTCAGATGGCTGTCCAGTTTTGCCTTGAATGTCTCTAGTGTGGAAGAGCCTATGACCTCCCTAGACAACTGGTTTCACTGTTGTATTGCTCTGTCAGTGAGGAAATTTTCCTGATATCTAGCCTGAATCAGGGTCCTTGCAATGAATTCAAGTTCATTATTCACTTGAGTTCATTATTCCATGTCCTACACTCAGTTATCAACAAGAAGAGATCTTGACCCTCCTCTTTGCAACAGCCTTTGAGATAGTAGCAAATGCGCAACCTTGTAGGTGGACCTGATCATTTATTACAGAAGGGATTGAATGTATGCTTTTCCGACTGATGTGACAGCAACACAGAAGAATGATCACAACCCAATTCAGTGTCAAGATGACTCTTGATGTATTGATACACTGCAAAAGAGACAGCAACCTTGCGCATCTGAAAGTATGTAAAACAGGGATGGGGAATATAGCCTTCTAGGACTGCAGCTCCCATCACTCCCACCATTTACTGTGCTGACTGACTATACTGGCCATTGTCGCCTACCAATATCTAGAAACCCCATGTTTCCCAGTCAGGAGTCTACAGCTGCCTGAAGGTCAACTATTCCCACCTCTTGTTTTGGCCTCATATCCATACATTGTACCTGACATATAGTAAGGCTTTCAGGCATGGTGTCTAAAGCAGAGGTGGCCAAAAGCTAAGTTGGGATCTGCTGATAGATCTCTAGGTGATTTATAGAGGATTGTCAAGGGTTTCTACCTTCCCAGCAATAGCTAAGATTCCCTGCCTCGCAGTCCTTTAGCTCTTGCATTTTGGTGCAGCTTCTGACTATAGTATCCTGCCTACGATAGTAATTGTTAAATTGCTGGAGTGTGGTGCTGAGGTCACTCCACTAGCACCGGAGTATGGTGATAGTTGTGGTACTAAACTGGTCCTGTTCTGCTCACCTGTCACACATGGTTCTTCTTTGCCTGCTCTGTTGCCCAGAGCAGATGACAGAAGTCCAAATGGAGCAGGGTGCCTTTAGGCATGATCCATGCATTCCTTATTTGGGAAGTTAAGACTTTGTGAGTCAGACCTGTGTGTACTGGATTCTGAAAAAATAGCTTCCCTTCATATGCTCCAAGGAGCTGGGTAGACTGTACAAGCCTACTTCTCCACAGAAGTTTACACTCTTACACGTATGTGTGAAAAGGGCAAAAATATCAGGGAGTTACCTGCTGCCCTGGTAACTCAAAATGGCCACTGAAAGTGAGGCATCAAAATGTGTTTTAAAAACCTAATTAAATAGGGTTGCATCCAACATTATTCTCTTGTTCATGGAAGGCTCTCTGTTCATGATCCATTGAATGTTCCCAGGGATGTGATGGATCAAAGCGCCATCTGTGCACAGAAGGCATAGTATTGGATTCAGATCATAATGAATAGATATGGCATTTCACTACATATCCAAATAGCTTCAGAGGTAGAAAAATTAGGATTCTAATTTTCCCCGGTCTTGGAATGGGGAAAATTACCCATTTTAATTCCACAGTCCTCCTGCTCCAGTGAAATCTTATCAGTGAGTCAGAGACCTGAGCCTGACCCCAATTTATTTAAAATTCACATCCACTATTATGTGTCTGCATCTGTAAATGACACACAAGTGAAAACAGAAATGCCAACAGGATTGAGCAGAGGGGAAGTAGTGTGTAACATGTGTTTTCTCATGCAGCTTGTCAGAATGACAGAAATTTGGTGAATTATTTTGAGATTTGACTTTAATAATGTACAATGCACTGTAATTGATGGATTAGAATAGAAGCCATTCTGTTATTTTAGTTATTTTTCATTTCGGCTACACTGTTTTGAGAAATTCCATAATTTTGAAAGGCTGATTTATACAGTTTTAAAAGCTGATGTCATTTGAGTGAGGACACATTACCAAATGTTTTTATTTACTATTGACTTTTAGGCTGGAGATATACTTTTAACTGAATCAACATCTATTGGAGAAATATGTTAGTGGGAAAACCTTCTAATGTGAAAATCAGTATAATTTTACTATATGAACAACTGAGCTTAGATGAACTTATCCTCCCAGGCACAAGTTTAATGGGGGGGGGGGGGCATCATCGCTGAGGGACAGGGCCTATCTTGGGTTCAAAAGATCACACGGTCTCTCCTCATTCAGTAGATTTAAGCTGTAAATGGTAGGAATAAGTTTCTAGCAGACTCTGAGAGCTACAGCCAATTAAGTTTGATGGCATTTGGATAGACTATGGACCTGAGTCATTGTATTGTAGACCTTTTCTATCATCTATCTATCCAGCTATTATCATCATAGGTAAATACAATATGTGGCTCATTATTTTTGTATTGCCAGCTCTACAACAAAAGATCTCCAATGATTCTTTATGATAGGAATGGGCAAGCTTTATTTTTCTGGGATCTCCTTTGTCTTTCACTAGATCCACAAACTGTTGTTTGGTGCAAAGAACAGATCTATGCTTACATCCTCTCCAAGTTTTGGCAAAGCATGTAGGACTGCTTACTCAGCTTGGTATGATCCAGGGGTTTTGACTTTCAGCTCCCATCAATCCTAGCCATATGGGCAGTATTCAGGAATGCTGGGAGTTGTCTTTCAAAACATTGGAGAGCTTCTGAGTTGGGGATGCTGGTGTAGGATCTGTATGTGGTTATGCCAGCAGTGTTTGTACCCTCCATTGACCCACAAGGGGCTTCTTCTATCTGGACACTTTTCCCAATATTTAGAACCAGGAGAATCAAATTAAATAGAAACTCATAAAATTGCTTTCAATTATATATCAAAAGCCTAGAAAAAAATCTATTCCTGTGAGTGTAATAAGTACTATTTACCTCAAGAAAAATCTCTCAAATTAAATGAAAGAATTCATGAATACTGCATAATTCTAATGCCATATAAAAGAGCAAGAGCATAATAAAGTTTTCAAGCTTTTTGTAAACATTTTAAAGCAGTGACAAAATCACATGCAACTCCTTTTTGTTCTTTTTCATTGTGGAAATACTTCACTCTGTTCAAGAATGATGTAATATGG